CTCTCTACTGTCTGTCTCTCTCTCTTTCTCGTGTCTCTGACCTCTGCTCCCTCTCTCGCTCCTGCTCGTGTTCACTTCATGTGTTCGAGTGTGAGACTCTTTGATGCTGCTGCCCTCTCTGTCTGACACTCTTCTCTCTCCCTCCATTCGTCTCTTTGACACTCTCCATCCATCCCTCTGCTTCCAGCTGGTGTTCAGCAGCTGCGTTTGTTCTTTCTCTTCATGCTGCTGCCTCTTCACCTTTCACTTCCCGACTGTAGTTTAAACACAACAGCACGTTTGTTTCAAGGCTGCTGACACCTGCACAGCATTCTAAGCTTTTCCAAGTTAGTATTTCAGCCTAAATAAGGTAAACCATGCCAAATCTGAATCTAAATTCTTACTAGAATTAGCCAAAAGCTTAGGCTGGAGTCTAACATAAGCTCCCAGAAAACAAACAGCAAATCCACATTTTAAATATGTCACCCTGGCTTTTTATAGACCAAACAACTGCTCAAATAATGTGCTGACTTTTACCGCTACCATTTGTCTCTGCTCGTGTGTCTGGATGAAACAGAGCCTGTTCTCAGTGAGAGTCTTTGGAATAAATCTTCTTATGTCACTGCTTTGTTGAGCCTGAAATTGTGGATGTTTGGTTGACTGAAGCCAACAACACTTCCACGAGGATTAACATCCTGAAATACCTCATGTACACACAAACTGTCGGGCTTTCCTGTCCTTCCAGTCCCTTCTGAACATGTTCTTTGGATCCCTGCCTTTGTACGGTACTTAATATCTAAACAGTCACATCTGAGGCTGGGTTTCACTTGTACCTGTTGTGTTCCAGGTCACTCGTCCACGTCAGGGCCGCTGTGTTTTGACAGGGCTTTAAACAAGTCAGATCTCAGTTTACATCCTCCTGCAGCTAAAATCAGCTTTTAGATGTTTTTGGGTTGAAACATGGGGCTCGTAAACATTTAGATCTGCTGTGGATGATGGGAAAGGCAGATAGAGGCTCATTTGTCATAGACGCTGACAAACCAGCTTCAGTTTCCTCTCTGTTAAAACAGTCAGCAAAGTTTCCTGTTTATGTTTTTATCCTCAGTCACATGAGGATTTTAAGTTTACCTGGTGAATTAATTTCTGTTCTCCTCTCTCCTCCATCCCTCATTTATAATATAACATAATATAACAATAGCACATGAGCAGACCTACATCATTATCTCTGATAATAAACATCCATAGGTTCAGTTAGAAATCATGAAAGATGCTCTGTACAGCTGTACAGAACCTGCCTCAGAATCATTACATTTTTAGGTTTTTGTCAGTCTCAAAGTAGTCCAGTGATAGCTGTCTGTACATATATGGATGTACCTGCAGGCAGGAGGCGCTATTAGTCGGCTACTTTTACTGCTAACAGGTTTCCAAACTGTCAACAGAAAGAAAGTCACTTTCGGCTTTTCCCGTTTAGGGGTTGCCACAGCAAATCGTCACACTGACGACTTGCATGTTGACATTTGGCACGTGTTTTATGCCCGATGCCCTTCCTCACGCAACCTGCACTTGAACCCAGGCCACAGCGGCGAGAGCACGCAACCTGGATTTGAACCCAGGCCACAGCGGCGAGAGCGCTGCGCCTTAACCACTAGCCTACCAGGGACGGCTAGGTTTCCACACTGTCAACAGATATGGGCTAAAACAGAGTTACAGCTACATTATGCTTCCTTTTTTTGTCCAAACTCTAGTTCCTTAAAGCACACTGCTCAAAATATCTCATCTCGTCCTTGTGGTTTTTATATCCCTGAAACAGTGACAGTTTTTCCTCTGTATACATGTGTGTTGAACCCTGTGGACTCACAGACCAGAAATGTGCTGCTATCACTGAGATGTGTGTAACTTTAGCTTTTCTCTCCACTGAACTTGACTGTGACTCCACCTTGTCACAGCAGATTTTGGGTCACAGAGACCTGTCCTTGTTATCTTATTAATTCCTGTTGTGTCTCGGCTACCATGTTTTTGTTGTCCCGCTGCCTTCGCATAAACACGCTCTCAGTGTGTGGCCCTTGAAAACACCAAAGTGCCCCTGAACAGGACTGAATGTGATGGTTTTGCTGCAGAAATGTTTTGACTGCCTGCTTCTAGTCTTCAAGTTTCTGAAGTCAAGTGTTTTGTTTATAGGTCTTTGGTTGTGACGCTGACTACGGCACCAGGATAAGGATTTTTTTGAGGGGTTTAGGTTAAAAGGTTTAAAGCTCAGTTCCTCACATTCAAAGTGGTTTAGGTTTGTTGCGAAGCATCCTGGGTTCTTTAGGTTTAAGATGGAAGCTTTTGCATTAAAGGTTGGTAGCTCTCATGCTTTACAACCAGAAGGTTTTTCAGACTTGCCTTGGACGGTCTGGAGATATTTAGGTCTGTGGTTTGGTTTAAAATCAGGCTTTTGACCACAGTTTTTAGATTTAGGGTTTAAAATGCTTCCTTCTTTACATGAAGATTCTTGGGGCTCTGAATGGTACAGGTGAAAGATTAGAATTTTTTGAGACTAAAATAGAAAATTTAATGTCCATCTATCAATCTGTTGGTGATCTTTTTCAACGAAACAGCATTCAGTTTATATGAGAAGGAAAACCAGCAGATATCCTCGGTGAAGAAGCTGGAACCATTTTTACTTTAAAAACAAATTAAATGATCCTTCAAAATGAAAACAGTTGCCTGTCAGTTGACTAAACAATGATTCAGCGTCCATCAGCATCAGTGAGAGAACGTGTTTCTGCTCAGACCTGTTCACCTGCTCTCCGAGGACAGAACTCGGCACTAAATAGACCCAACTGAGTGAAATGAGAGACAATTAATGATGATTACTGTGGTGAGTGCTAGGAGTCCTGGCTCATCCCCTCCATCACCTCTGTTTTCTTAATCCTCTTACAAGCTGTCTTTTCCTCCTGTCTACATGTTCTTGAGCAGTTCCTTGAAAACTCTGAAGCCTTTTTTCTCATCTCTCTTTCCCAAATTCTCTCCAGTTTTTCTCTTTGATTGGACATTCATTGCCAACTTTGGAGTATTTGACCGTGTTTGATACTCGCTGCTACAAAGTGTTAGAACTCAGAGAAACAGAACATTTTGAGTGAAGATCTAGTGAAATATGATGGTACAAATGATAAGCTCCCTGTTGTGGTTAGTCAGGCCTGACTGCACCGCCATAAAGACACCTTGAACCCCGCTGTCTCTGCTGCAGCTCGGGGTCTGTGTTAAACTGGCCAGACCCATTTAGAGTCATCAGTCTCTTTTACTAATTCATCGGCAGCGGTCTGTGTCAGCCTCTCTAGCAGACACAGAGTGCTAAAAGCCCCCAAGAATAACAGCACCTGGATAAACAAGGGTGTGATAATTGTCTGAATTTCATGGACTCCCACTGTTGTCCTGATGGAATGTTTCAATGACTTTTCATGACCTGGTAATGTCCACACTTTCTGATGTGATAGAGGAGGTCTGCACGGTCAGCCTAATGACGTTTTTAAACATTGGTCCAGGCAAAATGCAGCATTTCCTGGTATTTTGGGTCCAGTCAGAGAAGGAAACTAATCACTCTTTGCTTTAACATCTTGAATAAAGATTTAGTGGCAGCTTTACAAGATTAATGTATGTTGTGTTGATTGGATGGAAGCCATGACTGGGTGTGAAAGCCAACCACACAAATTACTTCCTGCTGCTAAATCAATCAGGGTCTTTTACTTTGAAAGATAATTGTCAGCTTCCTTGACTTTGACAGTTTGGGCCTTATTCAGTGATACCTCAGAAATTCCCGGGGGAGACATTTATTTTTTTTAATTGACTTTTACTGTGTTCAGAGAGTCAGAGAGGATATGTAACAACAGGCTGACTTTAGAAAGAGAGGTTTGATGTGGTTCAACATGAATGATTAATTAGAAAATAACGTAGCTGCCCTACTGTTGTTCTGTCATCTCTCATTTCTCCCAGAAATCACTGAGAACCAAACAGCTGCTGTGTGTTTCTCCAGCTGTTCTTGTTGCTGTGATACAGAGTGAATACACAGCACCCATCAGCGGTGCCTCCAGAGTTTTATCATACCATACATTAGCTGTTTTTACTGTTAGTCAGCACTGCGGTCGCCCCATTTTTGCTGGTATCTGTCTGGAAGGAATTCAGAGAGAAGATTCTCTGTTGGCTGGCAGACACACAGGGGGCATTGTTGGGGCTTTTACAAACGCCTGCCTGTGTCAGCGCCCAACCCTCCCTCTCTGCTCGGCAGGATGTTGATCCAGCTGCTTCCTGTTTTCAGGGGTCCTCCAGTTCCCTTCTGCTGGTTCCCAGTGAGACCCACTGGCAGGGAGGGAAATCACAGTTAGCAGCTCTGCCAGCTGACCAACATCAGCTGGTGGCTAAGGTGGTTCAACTGCTGAGATTTAAGGTGAAGAAACTTTCCATCAAAAATCTGTATCTTTGGACTTCTTTTAAATACCAGAGCAGTAAAAATAGCTCCTTAGTACAACAGTTTTTACAACGGATTCCCGTGGCAGAGGCAGCCTCTCTCTTCTCTCCCTGTCATTGTCCCATGTTGTGTCTGTATGTGCCCTGTTACCCTGTTCAGTCTGCCATGACCCTGCTGCCAGTCACGTCAGCTCTAATGAGACTCTTCATTCTCGTCTTCCTCCTGCTCCACTCGACACCACTGAGTAGGAACAGATTGGTCCCTTGTTACTGAAATGGTTGAAGTGCATGCTGTCATGCGTTCAAACTCGTGAGGTCATGTTGTTTACGTGGCAGGTTCAGCACACGATACAACCAGGGTTCAGGAAGTCATGAGGACACTGTTGCTAGGCAACTGATAGCCAAAAAGGACGAGTTGCCAAAAAAATCTTTCTCTGGCATGTGAGGGAAAATATTTCAGAGCATCGAGCTGATGAATTTGTGAATCTTTGTGTTAACATGCTGTTGCACATGAAGGCACCACATGTTCATTACACCTGCGTAATGGCTGTTTTTTCTCCCTCTGTCTCTCACAGATGCATTTGTAAACAGTCAGGAGTGGACGCTGAGTCGAACGGTACCAGAACTGAAAGTGGTGAGTTCAGAAGATCTCTCTCTCAAGTTTACATCCAAATCTCCTTTAATGAAGTGAGGATGGGTTTGGGTAGTTTTCACATGTCGTATATACACTGAAAATGATTTGATGTGATTTGATGTATGCTGTAAGAGATGGAGGGCAAACTCCTCAGTCCTGGTTCTACATGTGTAAAATGTGGCCCATGTTTGTGAGGCTGGAAAATACTTACTAAATGGATCAAACTCCGACTGCTGAATCCTCATGCTAGATTCAGCTAATGTTGTTTCATAAGCAGTGAACCAACCAGGCAAATAAGGGAAGTGCTCTGGGGGCCACATACCCCCAGGAGTGTGGGGGTATGTGGCACATCTGTTCAGGAATATGCACTTTTTAAATACAATGATTATATGAATATAATGATTGTAACTGGTGAATTGTTTCAGGCCAACAGCCCCAAACCCTAAAGACACAAAGAAAACCAATAAATCCTCATACTTGTTCATTAGTTGTGTTTGCAAAATGACTTGATCTTCACCTCTTGTCTCCCCCCAGGGCATTGTGGGTAACCTGGCCAGTGGTAAGTCAGCACTGGTCCACAGGTACCTGACAGGGACATACGTCCAGGAAGAGTCACCTGAAGGTAGGAACATGAATGTTTCTGTATGAGATCTGGCTGGATCTGTGTAGTCACTGTAGTCGTTCAGGCTGCGAACCATAAAACCGGTCCAAAACATTCAGCGATATCCAGCGTTTCCAGGCCAAACTTATCAACCTCCTCGTCTCTCAAGATTAGATCCCTGAAATAAACAGAGAAAGGCAAGTAGATTAAATCACTTTCAAAAAACAAGCAGGAAATAATAGGCTGAGGTTAAAACTTTGGCTGGCAAAATAAGACATTAACAGCCTCTGTCTCCTGCACGCAGTCGCCCAAAGCTCGCGCCCCCTCCTCTTTCAGCTACATCTCCGTGTTTCTACAACCATCCTGCTGTCACAGGTAAGTTAAGCTCAGATTTGACCACCAGGGCAGAAACACTGATAAAGAGAGGCAAGAGTCATGCACAGAACAGTGCAGTCCAGGCTTCATATGTCAGGGGTGTGGTGCACTCGCTTCAGAGACAAATCTGGATTATTCAGGTTTTTCTTACTTTAAATAAAAATGTTCCTGGTTTGTGTTTTGGATGAATTCAGTGCTTAATGACCTTTCACATGTTTTGATTCTTACACAGTAGCCACAGGGGCTCCAGTTTGACATGTTTCGTATGTAAAACCTATAAATTAGGTGACCTGAGAAACCAAATTTAGACCAGTGGCTCCCAGCCTGGGGGCCAGGACTGCCTTAACCTTGGGCAAGAGGACAGTGCAAATTCTTCCTCTCCCTGTCATCAGACAGGAGGTTTAACAACAGTAGGAACTTTTACGTCCACCTACAACGACAGGTCTGTCAGCACTGATGTTACTGAAGCTGCTCTAAGATTGTTTAAATGAGGCACAACAATGCAGTACTGTCCATTTTAGGAAAACTTTGGAGAGGTCTCATTCTGCTTTGTTGAAAACTGGGTCTTATTGCTGGAGGTTTGCACATCATTTCTATCAGCAATGCTCACACTGTAGCCACCAGCTTTATCTCTGAGATCTGGGAACACTGGTTTAATAAACCAGAGTTGTCATAAATAAGTACCTACAAATGCTCTCCCAGCTGACACGGGACCATGTAGAATCTTTGAAGTTTCCATGTAATTCGTAGTGAAAAATACCAAGCCAACTGCAGTTTCCTGTAGAGTCTCACAGGCCCTGCAGTGACGGCCATATTCCTCATCCAATATTAAAGCCACTCTGCTGCCAGCACCCCCACACACTGTGCAGTACAGCAGCCTCCCCAGGCAAACACCCTCTTTGGCTAAACCTTATGCTCCTTTAATATTTGACTACATGGGCCTTTTCTTTCCTGGAGGTTGGAGAGGCAGAGTAGAAGCCATTTCTACTGACGGAGCAGACCATCAGAAGTTAATTCAGACATCAATGTTTTAAAGGAAGACAGAAGAAGCCAGGTCACTGCACTAAAGTTCAGATGAATGCCTTTGTATTAAACCTTCTCTGTCTGACTCCAAAAGGGACATTTAACTCCTTACCCTCAGCAGTGAGGCTCGTTAACTCTTCTTGACCTCTCTGTATGTTTAAAGCCTTGGAGCTCATCAAATGTAGTTCATTTAGGATGAAACCTTTGCTGCCTTTTGTCATGTGGGACCCACTCAGAATCAGCCCACAGACCAGTTTGAGCTTCTGGTCCCTGGGCAGAGAAACTAGGCCTTCCATGTTTGGAGGCAGGGGAAGAAGGAGTGCTTGAAGTTATGCATCAGCTGAGAAAGTAGTTGAACTTGTGTATTAATCTGCTGTTGGAGGAGCTGATCAAAGATGAACTGATTAAAGGGACCCTAAGGGATAGAGGAATAGAGAGCGCTACATGCAGGCCTGCAGCCGCTGGAAAGGATCCAGAAAGGTTGGTGGTGGTGGGGAATCCCCAGTGCAGACCTTCCCTGAGGTGTGCACACTAAGGTCTGAGGAAATCCTCTTCAGCTGTGACATATGGCTTCTTGCAATGCCCTGTGTGGCTCTGCCATGTCAGACTGCTAAATGCCCAACGGTCTGTTTGCACTGCTTGGCCTTAATAACACCACAGCTCTGCCAAAAGCAACACGGCGCTGCTTCAAGCAGCTTCATGTACTGTATCCAAGCCAGCCCTAAACAATGGCTCCACAACATCTTTGATCTGATTACTTGGCAGCGCCGCCCATCAAGAACTCTCATTATAAAAGAAAAAAAAAACAGTTTGAAGTCATCGCCTAAGCACAAGAAATGAAAGGAGTTTCAGGCAGAGAGAAGAGCAGGAAAACCGATGTGTTGTTTTGAAATTCCTTGGGTCTAAAAATACGTGGCAGCCTGGATTCCCATGGCTGTTGATTGGGAGCGGAGTTGGTGGCTTGCAAGCGGCAGTGGGACCGCAGCGCCACAAAGCCACTAACCAGGGCTATTCTTATCCTGCAGGCTGGAGCCTCAACTGCAGATGACTGTACTCGCATCAGCTCCTGTTAATGAGCAGAGCAAATGAACTTTTCCTGGAATCTCATGGCGACCTCTGTTAGCACTGAGATGTCCGACATGTTAAAACCGCCACCATCAAAGCTTCATTGTGCACATTTTGTTTCTTTTTTGTTTTCTGGGCCAAACTCTCCCTGCAAAACTCTTCTTTGTGCTGCATTCAAGGACACTCAGGCGTGCAGATTTTCATAGAAACCATTAGTAACCAAGGCTAAAAACCTTTCACTGACCTGCTGAAATTCAGAAGACACTAAGTAGCTATTGAAGTACAGAAAAGGAAGATAGGGTTTTGGGGATTTGATCAATTAAACATGCTGCTGGTTCTGCTTCAGATCAAGGCTGCTACTAATAACTAGTTTTATTACTGATTAATTTGGTCTGTTAAATGTCTGAAAACCGGCCATCACAATTCCCTAAAGCCCAGTGTGTCAATGACAGATGTCTTGCTTTGTCCAACCAGCGGTCTACAGCTGCAACTTTTAGTTAATCAATTAGTGCATTGATACAAAAATAATTGGAAACTATCTTGATAGTTAGCTAAATCATTGTTACATTTTTCATGCAAAATTAAAAGGTTTCTTCTTCTCTCTGTTGATATTCTCCACAATTTTCTAACATTTGTAAATAATGATTAATCAATAATGAAAATAACTATTAGTTACAGTCCTACAACTGTTCACACCTTAAAGATAATCAGTTTAGTTTCACATAAGATGAAGAACAGCAACAAATCTTTACAGTTCAGAACTCGGGTCCAGGGAACATTTGATGTTTTGGCCTGAAAAATGTCTCGAATGATGAATCATTGATCAAAATGGTTGCTTGTCAGACTGTCCTTGAATGCGTCGAGAGTCCCTGCTTATAACTGCGTCTCCACACAATAATAAAAAGCAACATAAAGCTCCCTAAATGTTCACATTGATGGATCCTGATGGGCTGGTTTTTATAGCGCGGCTGAAACGACCTGGAACCAGTGGCCACTTCGAACGCATCAATCAGTGTGAAACCCTACGATCTGCTGCGGAATGTGATTTCCAAGAATACACTGCAAACCGCCTGGACTTTTTATGTTGCAGACCATAAAACCAGTAGGCAATACAAAGCATGCAACAACACATGGGGCTGCCCCCCCAAATCTAAAAAGTTAAACTCCGGCCGAGTGTTTGAGCAGCAGCACATGGTATCCATTAGAGAAGAAGGGAGCTCTGGCTGGGAAATCACCCACAGCCACCAAGCTGATGCTGCCGACTGTGGTGGCTGTGTTTCTGTAGCCAGGCGTCATTGAGAAATCCTGCTGTTTAAAAAACTGTCTGATATGTGTTTATTTGTCTGAATGGAACAGAAGAAGCAATGTGACTACACTTAGTCCTGATTGTCGCTGATTGTCACCGACACCGCACAGCCTCATTCCCTCTCACTCAGGGCTTTAGGTCTGTTCATCTTGGATGAGTTCTCACCATTAACTTGATTTATCTGTAACACAAACATGAACAATAAGGAAATTAGGGGATGAGTTACATAGCACGGAAGAGGTAAAGAGGTGCTGATAAATTCCAAAAAGGAGCAGATATTTCATTTTGTTCAAGATGAGAGACTCTGAAATCTGAGTGTCACATTTACCTCCTTAAAAGCTAAATGAAACCACATCCTCTCGGTTTGTTGATGAGCCTTACTCCCACTGTGAGACTGTCTGTGTTGTAAACATAAAGATGGCAGAGAAATGTGTGGAATTAGTAGTAACAACACAAAAGAAACAAACACTAACGGTCGACAGGTCCGGCCAGGATCCTTTGCATCTGTGTCCTGCTGCTCCTCTACAGGAGGTTTTCACATGTTGCTGTTCTCTGTGTTTCCTGCTTTGACCTCCAGTGTCCTGCAAATCAGATGTTGTCAACTCTCCTTGCTGTTGCTATTTACTCTGTTTTTTGCCTTATAACTTTCTCCTTTCTTTTGCACTCTTGTTCTTCTCTCATTCCTCATTTTTGCTCCAGACCTCATGTTCCTCTTGCACCTCTTGATCTGTGATAACTCCTGCTCTCTGGGTGCTGGGTTTGACTCTGCATGCATTAACTGTGGTTGCACCTTTGATGTTGTTTTGCTTTTTGTTTCCTCTCTGTCTCCTTTCTGGGCTGCTCTTGTAAACTAGCCGACGTGGATGCAGGTAACGATCCTCTCTCTTGACCTCTTTTCAGTCCCTCCCCTCCCCATCAGTCAGTAGTCTGACAGCAGTGTGGTGAGAAAA